CGTAGTGCCGAAAAACGTGGGTGAATAGAGCTTCGGCGGTCTGTAGGGCAGTGGGAAGACCCGGCATTGGGAGCAGACGACAGGCCTTAGAGAACCGATCCACAACGACCAGTATAGTAGTATTCCCCTGCGAGGGGGGAAGGTCTGTGACAAAGTCCACCGAGAGGTGAGACCATGGTCGTTGTGGAACGGGCAGGGGTTGTAACTTACCCCTAGGCAGATGTCTAGGCGCCTTACACTGGGCGCACACCGAGCAGGAGGAGACATAAACCCTCACATCCCTGGCTAACGTTGGCCACCAGTACTTAGCGCTAAGGCAGTGCACTGTCCGGCCAATACCAGGATGTCCAGAGGAGGGTGACGTGTGAGCCCAATAAATTAATCGATCCCGAACCTCGAGCGGAACGTACGTCCGACCCTCAGGGCACTGTGGAGGACTAGGGTCGGTACGCAACGCCCGCTCGATTTCAGCATCGACCTCCCACACTACCGGTGCCACCAGACAAGACTCCGGCAGGATGGGGGTGGGCTCAACGGACCTCTCCTCCGTGTCATACCGCCGAGACAGCGCGTCTGCCTTACCGTTCTGGGACCCAGGGATGTACGTGATCTTAAATACGAACCGGGCTAAAAACATGTTCCACCGCGCCTGGCGAGGGTTCAGTCTCCTAGCCGCCCGGATGTACTCCAGGTTACGGTGGTCAGTCAAAATGAGAAAAGGGTGTTGAGCCCCCTCAAGCCAATGCCTCCACACCTTTAGGGCCTGTACCACGGCTAACAGCTCCCTGTCCCCTACGTCATAATTTCGCTCCGCCGGGCTGAGCTTTTTGGAGTAAAAAGCACAGGGGCGGAGTTTAGGTGGCGTGCCGGACCGTTGCGAAAGTATGGCCCCTATACCGGCCTCGGACGCGTCAACCTCGACCTGAAATGGTAAAGCGGGATCCGGATGCGCCAGCACCGGAGCCGAAGTAAACAGGTCCTTCAGTTTCCCAAAAGCCCTGTCCGCCTCGGCTGACCACTGCAAACGCACCGGACCCCCCTTCAACAGAGACGTTATGAGAGCTGCCACCTGTCCAAAACCCCGGATAAACCTCCGGTAGTAATTTGCAAACCCCAAAAACTGCTGCACCTCTTTTACAGTGGTTGGAGTTTGCCAATTACGCACGGCTGACACCCGGTCAACCTCCATCCTCACCACTGACGCAGACAACTGATAACCCAAAAAGGAGATCGACTCCTGGAAAAACAGACATTTCTCTGCCTTGACATACAGGTCGTGCTCCAACAGCCTCCTCAACACTCGGCGCACCAGGGCTACATGCTCGGCTCGGGTAGAAGAGTACACAAGAATGTCATCAATGTACACGACCACCCCCTGTCCCTGCATGTCCCTGAAGATCTCATCCACGAAGGATTGGAAGACTGAAGGAGCGTTCATCAACCCGTATGGCATGACGAGATACTCGTAATGACCTGAGGTGGTACTAAACGCTGTCTTCCATTCATCGCCCCCTCTAATGCGCACCAAGTTGTATGCGCTCCTGAGATCTAGTTTTGTGAAGAAACGCGCCCCGTGCAATGATTCCGTCATAGTCGCAATCAGAGGGAGTGGATAACTGTATTTCACCGTGATCTGATTGAGACTACGGTAATCAATGCACGGGCGTAATCCTCCATCCTTTTTCTTCACAAAAAAGAAGCTAGAGGACGCAGGGGAAGTGGATGGCCGTATGTATCCTTGTCTCAGAGATTCGTCTATGTAAGTCTCCATAGCTCTCTTCTCCTCCTGAGACAGAGGATACACATGGCTCCGTGGGAGTGCTGCTCCTGCCTGGAGGTCTATCGCACAATCTCCCTGCCTATGAGGAGGCAACTGCGTCGCCCTCGATTTACTGAACACGATCGCCAAATCCTCATACTCAGGGGGAATGTGCAGTGCGGGCACCTGGTTTGGACTCTCCACCGAGGTCGCCCCCACGGAAACACCTAGACATCGCCCCACACACTGGGCAGACCACTCCATAAGAGCCCTCAATGGAAGGATTATGGGTACTCAACCAGGGAATTCCCAGCACCACCGGATACGCAGGAGAGTCGATCAGATATAGCTGGATCGTCTCCTCATGACCCCCCTGCGTACACATCCTAAGTGGCGCTGTGACCTCCCTGATTAACCCCGATCCCAACGGACGGCTATCTAGGGCATGCACGGGGAATGGGATGTCAACCGGAAGAAGGGGAATCCCTAATTCTACACAAAATTTACGATCAACAAAATTCCCAGCCGCGCCTGAATCTACTAGCGCCTTATGCTGGGAATGAGGTGCAACCTGTGGAAATCGCACAGGTATACAGAAGTGCACAACAGAGAGCTCTGGGTAAGTGGGACGCCTACTCACCTGGAAGGACTCCCCAGTGCGGGGCCTGCCGTCTTCTCCCCTAGGAGACCCTCCCCAGCACCTGGCCGCGGTGTGTCCTCCACGACCACAGTTGGTGCAAGGGACGGCCCCCCTCGTGCGCCGACCCCTCTTCTCTCTAGCGCCAGCACCCCCGAGCTCCATCGGGCTCGGCTCGGAGGTGCTGGAGGGTGGAATGGACGAACCCCACTCGGGACGTCCGCGGGTGGCCAGCAGGGTGTCCAGCCGGATGGACATGTCCACCAACTGGTCGAACGTGAGGCTGGTATCCCTGCAGGCCAGCTCACGACGGACGTCCTCCCGTAGACTACAACGGTAGTGATCTATGAGGGCCCGCTCATTCCACCCTGCATCCGCCGCTAGAGTTCGGAATTCCAACGCGAACTCCTGGGCGCTCCTCCTCCCCTGCCGGAGGGAGAATAGACGCTCCCCCGCCGCTTTCCCCTCAGGTGGATGGTCAAACACGGCCCTGAAGCGGCGGGAGAACTCCGAGTATGTGATCGTGGAGGCGTCCATCCTCCTCCACTCGGCGTTGGCCCATTCCAACGCTTTGCCGGTGAGACAGGAGATGAGGGCGGAGACGCTCTCGTGCCCCGAGGGCGCCGGGTGTACGGTGGCCAGGTATAGTTCCACCTGCAGGAGGAACCCCTGACATCCGGCAGCGTTGCCCTCATACGCCCTCGGGAGCGAGAGCCGAATCCCCCCGGGTTCCGGAGCTTGAATGGTCGGACTGGCCGATGGTGAGGGCAAGGTAGGTGGAGCTGCGGGTGCCCCTCTGTTCTCCCATCGTTGCAGGGTGTTTATCACGTCCTGAAGGGCGGTCCCGATCCGAAGGATCTGGTCGTTCTGCTCGCGGACGCGCTCCTCCAGTGACTCAGGTGCGGCTGCGGCTCCTGCTGATTCCATGATGTTGTGTGATTCTGTCAGAAGGTGCTGTGTGTAGATGTGGTGCAGGAAATCAAGCGCAGGACGCAGAAGCTCAGTCCAACAGACTTTAGTGAACAAACACTCCGAAATGATCCAAAAGGAGCCAAGAGGCCAGCGATTGCGCACACAGGCGTAAACCACACACAAAATAATTACGCGCACAACAAGTGCGAAAACTTCTCCAAAACAGAGGAGGAACGAAACACAGTCAAAGAGACAGTAAGCGAAATCACACATGCCACATGACAAACAAAACGAGAACTTATAGGACACACTAATGAACGCTAAACGATAACAGGTGTACAACATAAAGACAAAACCAAACGAACATCGAAACATACAACGGTGGCAGCTAGTACTCCGGGGACGACGACCGCCGAAGCCTGCCCGAGCAAGGAAGAGAGGCAGCCTCGGCCGAAACTGTGACATAGGCCTACATCTCAAGTGATTTATCATTCAATATCCCTCATCAGTTGACAATAAGAGAGACACTCAGGTGGAGAGAATGAAAGAGTGAGAGATAAGGCAATCACCAGCTGTCCCTATTGACTCCCACATCTCCCTGTGGTGGGGACAGGTTGTGTAAGCAAGGAAGGCCAGTAACCATGGTATCATCAGAACTCGCAGGACCTGCTCTTTGAGTGGATTGAGACAATTAAAGTGAATATCAAATCCATCATAATCTGCATATAACTCACCACCACCAGCACAGTCATATAGGGTCAATCAAAAAAAGGAAAATCATCTGGTACCTTCAGGAAGACTTTCTCAGAGAGGTGTTTCTCTACCTACTCATATCAACTCAGAAAATAATAATTCAGAAGTTCATATGAATGTTCATAAGGATAATGAAGATGAGGGGACATGAGAGTTTAAATCTTTTTTCCCACAACATTCTGCTCAACCCAGATAAAGATTTGTTGGTGTTTTTGTTCTATCAGATCTGGTTTTGACCAAATAATTCCATCTCTACAGATGTAGGATCTTAATTTGATCACCCTGTTGCAGGATAACTTAAGCTTGTAGTGTATTTGAGGTTTAAAAATGTCCATTAAATATAATCCACATAATAAATAACATGTCCTGTTGCGGCAGGATGATTTTCCTGCTGTAGCAAACTGGATCAAATTAAGATCCTACATCTGTAGATGTGTCAGACAGAATTCTAGTGCCAATGTGAAATATTGACAGGACTCATCACTTTGGTTTACCATAACATCACTGGGATTCTGAGGTATATTTCATCCTATCAAAGAAAATACTGCCTACAATGTTATACATATTATTTATTGACTATTGAGGGTTGTGATTGAGATGTAGTTGTCCCTGATTGCACTGACTTTGCTCACAGCTGCTTGTTTGAAGAAGTGTACCTACTGTGATCAAGATGTGGTTGTCCCACTGGCTATCCTAAATTGAATGCACTAATTTGTAAGTCGCTCTGGATAAGAGCGTCTGCTAAATGACTTAAATGTAAATGTAAATAATCTTATGTCCGTATCTGTGTCAAATGTCATTTAAAAAAACCTCTTATTTGTGTTATCTCATCATACTCCATCCTCGAGAATTTACATGTACCTTCTTCATCATCAAAGACGATTCACCGATTACCATTACAACATCACTTTGTGCTGAACGTCACCACTTCTTGTGGCAAACGTGTGGCGCATAACATGTTTTGAGGAGGTGTTCTTTGTGCCATTGTTCAATCAAGTAAAAACGAGAAAACGGATAAAGTGAGTGTTATTTTCAATATAATGCACATTTGACAGAAGAAAGTACCATGCTTTATGCAGCAAAGAAAAAATAAACATTATTTTCCGAAGAGAATGGAATGAACATACTAGCGGTTCGAGTCATTGCTAGCTAGATAGCTAATTAGCCGGCTAGCTAGCCTGACAGTTGACGGCTGTTTATCTCGCTAACGTAGCTAACTAGCCAGCTCATAATCAATAACGTTATCCAATTAGCTAGCTAGCTACATTGTAACAGTTGTAGCTATGTTTTTGCATTATCTGTCAAAACATGTGTTCTGTAAGCTAGCTAGTAGCTAACAGGCTAGCTAGATAATTAGCCAGCTAGTTAGCTAGCTAGCATTGTCCCCTTAATAGTTGAATGGAGAAAGCTAGCTAGCCAACCAACTAGCTAGCTTAGCTAGACATATCCCTGCATGACTAGCTAGCTGTGTTTTACATTCCCTGCATAACAACATGCACTCTTGTCTCAACTACCTCAGACCGAGATGTGCGTTGCTATGATTATCAACACCACCGATGCTTGCGCATGCTATATTGTCTGATCCCCAGACCATTATCAAATACTGCCAAATGTATTTTGATCAGTCCAAAATAACAACAAAGCAATGCAGCCAATGGCTGATGAAAATGTGCAGCAAAATGAAATTCATTTTGGATTTTGTTTGTTGTGAGCTATTTGTAATCATGATTTGAATTTATATTTGCAACGTTCAGTACATTAAATGCTTTTCTTCCATGGCACTGAATCTCCTCTCTGCTCTACTCCTCCTCTCCTCTCCTCTCCCCAGTGGACCGTGGGTCGAAGCACAGGCAGGTGAAGCCTCTGGCTGCCTCTCTGCTGGACGCTTTAGATTATGACAGCTCAGATGACAGCGATTTCGAAGTGGGAGACGCAGATGCCTCAGGTAACCAACAGCAGTGAGGGTCCTCTTCCATCCACTCCTTTAAATTACACATTTTCTTCCACCACATATGCAGTTCTTTCCTGTTATGTTGCGATTCGCATCTTCATCTGTCAGCTCAGATAGAACTGGAGAGTAGAAAGATGGAACTCAGAATTAGGCCTATCTTCAAACCAACTTGAAATGTCCCCAAAAGCAAGGCAGTGGTTTCTATTGCAGACTAGGCTCTATTTAGCTGTGGCTTGAATAGCTTTGCATTTTTTACATTTTAGTCATTTTAGCAGACGCTCTTATCCAGTTAGTGAGTGCATACATCTTTCATACTTGAATGACACTTCAATGTGCAGCTGTGATATTTTCAACAGTTTTTAGCATACTTTCTCCACCAAGACTCTCTGTACAGTGTGTCTGCCAGTGCCGCCCCACTATCAGGTGCAGGCATCCCGAGGTATAGATGAAGACCTCATCACCCTGCTTGTCTGTGTCTGGTAGTGACCTTGTAGAGCGGTGTGTTTCGCACTGACTCCCTGCGTGATCTAGAGACAGGCTGTGGCTGTTGAGGCGATCTCGGCCTGCCACTGTCTGCCTGGGCTGGATTTATCGCTCTGTCGGCCCTGAGGTCTCCATCCACCCTATCTGAAACACACACACACATACACACACACTCTGTGGCCAGCAGCTGATAATGAGATTCTACAGTACTGTGAGCCTCCTGGGCTCTGTGGTGTTGGATGCTGGACCTGTCAACTGAGGCCTTGAAATCCAACAGCTTTTGTTAATCCGATTGTAAATCTGCCTTGCAGATTAGGCTACATGATATAACGTTAGAGAACTGATTTCAACTTTGCTGTTATCACTTATCAACATGATTTGATCAGAACTTCAAGTCATGTTAATCTTTATTTAAGGTGTCTGAATACAAAAAAAAATACATAAAAAGAGAGATTATGACAGCAGACATGCTTTCATTCATACTCCATGTTGAACATGCGCTCTGTCCTCCTCTCCCCTGTTCTAGGGTCAGAGGGTAGTGCCATTGGGAGTGATGAGGAGGCGGAGGGGTCCAAGGAGGAGAGCGCTGCTGAGGACTCTGACAATGACAGTGACTCGGACAACATCGGCTCTGCAACGGACGGCATCGATGAAGAACAGACCAAGGAGCTGACAGGTGACGACACCCCCACCGAGGAAGAGGAGAAGACCAAGGAACAGCAGCCGTCCTCTGACATTAGCACCACCACCACTAAAGACCCTGCTCCTTCAGGGGCGCCCAGGGGCCAACGGAGGAGAGAAGAGAAGGCCTCGGACACAGAGGCTGGGAGTGGAGGAAGCGGGAGTGGGACAGGTAGGCTTTTTAAAAATGTTTTTTATATTAATGTTTTAAAATTATGTTTTTATAAACGTGACCAATAAAAGCCTTTGAAATTTGATCCAGGTAGTGGTAATGCACAGGACGGAGGCTCAACAACGGCCGCCACACAAGAGCCCAAGAAGTGGAACCTGCGTCGTAACCGACCCATGCTGGACTTCACCACCATGGAAGAGCTCAACGAGATGGACGACTACGACAGCGAAGACGACAACGACTGGAGGCCCGCCGCCGGCAAGAAGAAGGCCAAGACGGCGGCTGCCCAGAAAGGAGGGAGCGAGGGAGAGGAGGAGGAGGAGGATGACGACGGCGGGAGCGGTAGCGATGATGATGACAACGAGGATGACGATGGTGGTGATGAAGATGAGAATGAAGAAGGGAGCAGTAGCGACAGTGATAAAGAGGTGAAGAAACCCAAGAGGAAAGTGAAGAACAGCAGTGTGTTTGACGAGGAGCTGACCAATGACAGTATGTCACAGGGAAAGAGCAATGAGGTAAAAACAACTTTGTCCTTGTAACTCTTTGTTGTTAGCAAACTGCCGAAGGCCCTCAGCATTTAGGCATATCATGTAGCCATAACTCTCTGATCCCTTCATTGGATCCAGTGTGTTAGCCAGCCCAGCACTATGTTACTATGCGCCACAGAGTTATCATGTAATCCTATGAGGAGATTGGATGGTATCAGAGTGAGAGAACCACAGAGACTGCTAGAGAGCTACAGCTCTATGTTAGGCTAATCGACTTAGCTTGGAGTCCATCAGTGTGAATGGGATTTAGCCTACTGCTATCTATCAATAACGATCTGTGGTCAAAGGAGAGGGGGGATTGTGAGAGGCTTTAGACTTACGACTTGGAGGACCTTTGTTTGTAGAGGCTGGGAACTTAATTTTTTGGGTCCGGTGCATACAAGCATATTAGAATCACACGTAACCGTGGATAACATTCAAACACGGAGATAAAAATACCTTTTTGAGATATAGACATTTAACCTAGTTAAAAACAGCCCAACACAATATAGTGTATAAGGGTGCATTTATAATGGTTTTACTGTACCTTTACTGTGTCTCCCACTTCCTGTCTACCCAGGATGCCTTGCTGGAGCGTGCCCAGACCTGGAGCACGGCGGCCCAGAGGATGGAACACATCCTGATCTGCTGTGTGTGTCTGGGAGACAACAGCGAGGATGCTGACGAGATCATCCAGTGTGACAACTGTGGCGTGACCGTACACGAAGGTAAGCAGCACCAGAGAGATAAAGGTTACTGTATATAACAGACCCACCAGGCAAAAATACTTTGAACCAAGGTTGCTTCAACGTCATCTGTTGTATCTTTTCAACATACTTGAAAATGCTAAAAGTGTTCAAAGTAAGCTAATTTCAACCAGATTTCAACCACAAATCAACGACAGGATTTTAAGGGTTGGTTTATTTCAAGTAAAATACATGTTTGTGGACACATAACTAAATAGCAACTAAAATCAGATGTTGATTTTACGTTAGGTCAGGTTTTTGCCTGGAGGTAGCCTTTTCTTATTTTATGGTAAGCACAGGTCAGAAACATTTAGAAAGGCTAGGACTACCTTGCTAGCTGTTCAGGTTTGGGTCAGAAGAAAAGCTAATTTTGTCAAGGAAGAGATTTAAAAATGAGGCAGTGTTTGGGTGCTAGGCTGGGGTTTCAGAAGTTTTGGTTGCAAGTTCCATATACCAGAAACAAACACAAAATAATCACCCCTTCACCGTCCACCCAACACCTTAACATAAACAGGGAAACCAGCAAACCAGAAGTGCATTCTCCCCATACTGCCCTGGCCTGGGGAACTAACAGACTAACCCTCTTCCTCATCATCTAGCATTATTAGCTCATTATGTCTCCCTCTGACTGGTTGGAGACAAAATCAATGGCTCCTTAAATGGTCTCTTAGATGTGGCCTTCTCCTCTGGACAGGCGTGGTAACGCCGCCCATGCACACCACTGATCAATGTGACAGCGATAATTTTCAATTACGACCACTTTATTTATTTATTTACAATGTTTGACTGATTTAAAGCACCTAGAAACAGAATGTACGTGCGCATGCACGCACACACCATGGCCATTGGCAGCACTAAATCAGAGGGTAACCTTGAAACAGCCAGGGTCTTTCAAGTGCAGTGTTGCAAGTCAGTCCTTCGAGCAACACTCACACGTTCTTAGGGAGACACAGTATGCACACACACCACTCATGAATCATGGGAGAGGAGCACAGGCCTAATCACCAATGGTGTATGAGCATAAATACTGTAGGACACTAGGAGCTGGTGCTACGTTTATCTCCTTCCCTCTCTCTATCTCTATCTCTAGCACTTACACACTCACACACATACTTATCTCTCCCTCCCTGTGTTAATATTGTGTTCCTCTGAGACCTGTCTAATCTCCATGAGAAGAGGCAGAGCAGAACAGAGGGGACCATGCTGAGTGGTGTGGAGTCAGGGACTGGAGAGACCAGAGCAGAACAGAGGGGACCATGCTGAGTGGTGTGGAGTCAGGGACTGGAGAGACCAGAGCAGAAAAGAGGGGACCATTCTGAGTGGTGTGGAGTCAGGGACTGGAGAGACCAGAGCAGAACAGAGGGGACCATGCTGAGTGGTGTGGAGTCAGGGACTGGAGAGACCAGAGCAGAACAGAGGGGACCATGCTGAGTGGTGTGGAGTCAGGGACTGGAGAGACCAGAGCAGAACAGAGGGGACCATGCTGAGTGGTGTGGAGTCAGGGACTGGAGAGACCAGAGCAGAACAGAGGGGACCATGCTGAGTGGTGTGGAGTCAGGGACTGGAGAGACCAGAGCAGAACAGAGGGGACCATGCTGAGTGGTGTGGAGTCAGGGACTGGAGAGACCAGAGCAGAGGGGACCATGCTGAGTGGTGTGGAGTCAGGGACTGGAGAGACCAGAGCAGAACAGAGGGGACCATGCTGAGTGGTGTGGAGTCAGGGACTGGAGAGACCAGAGCAGAACAGAGGGGACCATGCTGAGTGGTGTGGAGTCAGGGACTGGAGAGACCAGAGCAGAACAGAGGGGACCATGCTGAGTGGTGTGGAGTCAGGGACTGGAGAGACCAGAGCAGAACCGAGGGGACCATGCTGAGTGGTGTGGAGTCAGGGACTGGAGAGACCAGAGCAGAACAGAGGGGACCATGCTGAGTGGTGTGGAGTCAGGGACTGGAGAGACCAGAGCAGAACAGAGGGGACCATGCTGAGTGGTGTGGAGTCAGGGACTGGAGAGACCAGAACAGAACATGCAGAAGGGGCACTTTGAGGCCAGTTCATAGGTTGTGTTGTTTTACAAGGTGGAATAAGTGACTTTTCTCAGGCTATCTGGTCTTGTAAAATGTTTCTAGTCATTTACTGTACCTGCTACTTCATAGGTTTAAAATAAACCAACTAGTTTGGCTTTTGATGAAGTTGCTTTGTTGATATCATTGATCAACAGCTCAAGTATTAATCTTCGTGCCTATTATCTGTATTGTAGTAATGTATTAAAGGTGCCTGGTCAAACATGCATATTCCTGTTCTACTTTACTACAGGGCCACAGAACAATTTGTGCTCCATAAGAAAAGGCCCAAGCTACAAATGTTTTTCTCGTAGTAACATGCAGCATCCAATTATTTGTGTCCTCCCTATATTTATTCTGTCCATTTATTCCTAATGTCTTGCTCAATTACAGTTGGGAAAGAATGCATTTCATTTACCAACCAGACTTTCTCTGGCTATTACAAAATGAATTGAGTCGGAAGGGGCTTGTATTACAATCTTTCATTTTCTTTCTATTACAACGAAGTGAGAGAGAGGATGCGCATTTTGTAAGGGGGAGAGAGGGGAGGGGGAGACTACACAAATGCAAGAGAGGAAGGAGAGAGATGGAGAGACGTAGAGAGTGAACGAGTGGAAGGGGATGGAAAGAGGGAGTGGGAGGACTGTAGAAAATGCACAGTAAGACATGCAGACAAGTTGGAGGACTGTAGAAAATGCACAGTAAGACATGCATACAAGTTGGAGGACTGTAGAAAATGCACAGTAAGACATGCAGACAAGTTGGAGGACTGTAGAAAATGCACAGTAAGACATGCATACAAGTTGGAGGACTGTAGAAAATGCACAGAAAGACATGCATACAAGTTGGAGGACTGTAGAAAATGCACAGAAAGACATGCATACAAGTTGGAGGACTGTAGAAGAGAAAGATAGTGACAGGGAGGAACTCTCTCTTTCTCCTTCATTTGCCTCAGCATGGCATTTTCCCCTCCCGCGGTGGAGAGGGGCAGGCAGGTAGGAGTGTCGTGGCCGCCCCCGACTGAACAGACATCTGTTCCATACTGAACACTGCCCCTCCCTCGCCAGCCACTTCTTAGACACGCACACAAGGCCCTCCCTCGCCAGCCGCCTGCCACCCTTGAGTGCCAGCTGCGCCACGGTGCCAGGCGCCCTGAGGGAGAGGGGGGTTGATTGGTTCAGGAGAGTGTTGGCCCACACGGCTGTCTGCGCAGCAGCTTGGAAAGGTGACCCCACCCACCCCCCCCACACACACACGTGCGTACCTACCCATGCGACAATGCAGAACCTGTCATATGCATGAGATGGTGCTGGCATGAAATGGGAAACAGATTCTGTGCCCAGTGCCCCACCCAACCTGAGGAGAAGAGAGGAAAGTGAACTGGTGTTTAGCCACATCAGGAGTTTCAACTGTAGTGGGAGGAGGAGAGTACGCTAAAGCAAGGCAGAGGCTGCTGCTGCTGTCACTAACTTCTAACTGTGACCTAGCTTGTTCAGTTGTTCCTCTTGAGATTCTATGGGATTGTTCTGTTAGCCTTTTTGGCTCCAACTAGCTCACGTATAGCTCATGGTTTCTTTGGGTCAAAAGGTGCTGGGTTATCCTTCATCCTCCTTTCTCTGGGCTGTAGAGGCACAGTGCTCTTTAAAAAAAAACAAGAGCGTGAGGGTGAAGCGGGAGAACAAGGGATGGTAACAGGAAAGAGAGAGAGAGAGAGAAGAAGGGAGGGATCGTAAGGAGGAGATGAGCTGTCATTATATGCAGCTCGGGTGAGTTGTCCGACCACTTCGTCTCGTCTCTCTGCTTCACTCCAGAACTCTTTGTTCTCTTCGGAGGAGGACTGCACATTCCCTCGTTCAGACAGACACTCTCCTCCTCTCCTCTCCTCCTCGGACCAGAGGAAAGGAATGATGGATGAAAAATGAAAGGAGAAGATGTAGGAAGTCCAGTGCAGAGAGAGGGAGAGAGATCAAAAGCCTTGGTGAGCGCTGAGCAGAGGCCCAGAGAGCCAGTTGTTCGTACAGACAGAGCCTATTTCTATCACAGCCCTGTACTATGCAGACTAGCTGCTTTTGATTAGCATGGGCTAGCGTGTGTTTCTGTGTGTGTGTTGAATGATGACAGACATCATTAACTGTGCCGCCATTAAAGTAACTCCGACACTCTTTCTCTCTCTCGATCTGCTTTATGTGTTCTGGACTGAAGCCTAAATGCTAATTATAGCTTTTCAGTAGCAAAGACAGTCACTTGTTTGTTGTTTTTATGTCCCTTTATAATTTATTAATTTTTTGTCTTGCAGTTTTACCGTTTCAGCAGTGTAATGGTATCCAGTGTCATTTTAAAGCAGCACGGCTGTTAAAATGCTCTCCCCTAATAAAGAAAATGACATTGTCATTAATAGGCCTAGGCTGAGTCCCAAATGGCACCCTATTCCCTACGTAGGGCTCTGGGCAAAAGTAGTGCACTAATAAGGAATAGGGTGCCATTTGGGACGCGTACTCATTCCAATTAAACCCCTGTACTATTGATTTCACTCCCTAACGAGTTCTGGACCGTAAAGTTAATTATCTTCTCAAATGTGCTTAATTCATTTAGGCTCCGCTGTTTGGGCTTATTTGTTTAAATGCATATTCAGTAGAAAAAAATATGTTTGGGAGGGATGTTTTTTGTTGTCGCTGCAATGGACATCACATTTAGCAGTTCAAACTAATTAAAAAGTATGAGAATTTTCTTTCTCATTTAAAACAAACTTTTAGTGTGTTTTACATCCTTGGGCTAAACACTGGTGAGTGGAGTGTACTGAGCCCAGGCCTAGAAATCACAGCTAGAGTTTTTAAGAGTCCCTACAATGCCCATTTGTGACTGTAACTGTGTCATACTGTAATAACTGCAGAAAGACAGTTGACTGATACCCCAGTAGATGATGAAGGTTCTCTCTCTCTGACACTCTGACAGTGTCCTTGGGGCCTTTGTACTATAAATCAGCTACAGATATCGTACAGGCACTAATCATATACCGTTTCCTTCTATCCTTTCTTTACTGTAAGTATGCTTCAGTGTATGACTGCGTCTGAAATGGCCACTCATTCCCTATATTGTGCATTACATTCAACCGGTGGTCCATTTAAATGACATAGTTTAGTCTGTCGCAGAACTGTAAAGAGTCTACCCTTTGTACTGTTTGAAGTATAAGCCTAGTAGCCTAATCATAGTCATTTGTCAATACCTGCTCTTGTCGTTCCTCTGTCACGCAGTCCTCTTAGTAGTGCCATTTGAAGGCAGCCTTGGTAAGGCGATAGCAGTTTTAGATGAGGGTAATTTAGTGCTTAGCAGACTTATGGCCTCATCCTTCTGTATATCCTCCGTATTATCCTGTTATACACCAGGGTAATTATCACATAAATGTGGGTTAAGGGCCTAGCTCAGCTCAAGGTTAAAAACCATGTTTTCCCTCATGCTGTTTCAACTAACTGCAGAAACATTAATGCTACAAGGGCAGCTCCCGAAACCCCTGAAATGCATTTAAAGGCCCACGCCTTAATAAAACAAATAACCAAACGCCAGCCCTGCCACTTGATTTTCTATAATGAGGCTGGAGAAATTTGGCCTAACCACTCTCAAATTCATAGTAAATATCACAGAGTGGGCCTTTAAGCGAACCAAAAAATATTAAGCTGATATTGTGTTATATCCAGTGTCTTCAGATGAATTCAATCCAAGAGGAGGAGAAGTGCAGGTGAATGAATGAATGGGACCCCAGCACCCATAGAGGAAAGCAAGGCATTGTGAAGCTGCTTATTGACAGTTAGCTTTCATTTTAGAAATGGTGTTGTAATCCATTGTCAGATGAGAACATTTAATTATACTTATTATTGAATTACCTCTCCCTCTCTCTCTCTGTCTTCCTTTCAAAACAGGTTTAGCCTTGTGGATTTTCTCCCCCTTATAACAAGTAAATGATTTATTCTATGGTTTACTGGCCATGGGAATGATTCCATTGTTTTTAAAAAGGAGCAGACTAAAGTGATGTTTTGAGAGATCGCCCTCCATCTTAGTATGGAGTTTTAATTCAGTGCCGCTGATTTAAAGGAAGATCTGAAAACCATCCTTCTGAAAACACATACACACATCTGTCTTGAAAATGTGTTATTCAGTGAGATCTGAGCTGTGTGTGTGTGTTGTCTCTGTGATGCCCCATTTTGCACACCGGCTCTGCTTATATGAGTGCTTTTGAATAGGTCCACTTAATCTTGGAATGAAAAGTGTTACCATTCATGGAGAAATTGAATTGAACTAATCTAAGAGCATCCATCTTGAACATGCTGGAGTTTTTCTCTTTTGGGGGGGGGGGGGGGGGGGGAATAAATATTTTGACAGGCAGCGACAGAGTGAGATGAATAGATTCAACTAGAGATTAGAGTAAATGTGAGTAAAACCACATGAGTTAAATCACAAAAAGCTTATATTTTCAAACCTGTTTTTACCTAGCCTAATGGTTTATTGAATTGATTAACACTGTATTGAACTGCATGTAGGAAGAGAACACTGCAGTTATGTACATTTCTCAAAATATTGACTATTGAACTTGAGATATTTGGGGATGGGGTAATAGACATGAGGAATATTGATTTGTTCCACTTCCATCTGAAATCATTTGCATTTGAAATCTAAATGGGATGTAATGATGGATGTAATGATGGAACAAGTAGCACTGAAGCAGCATAGATAATAATGAACTGAATTACCCTTTAATGGCGTAGCTCTGACAGGTGTGTGTGTGTGTGTGTGTGTGTGTGTGTGTGTGTGTGTGTGTGTGTGTGTGTGTGTGTGTGTGTGTGTGTGTGTGTGTATACTCTCTCTACCTTCCTCTCAGGAGGAGGCAGAGATGGACATTATGTTGGGTGTGTTGAGAACCTTACAGAGATGATTAGTGTGACATCGCTGCCAACTTGAAAATGGGAACCCATCTATGCACTGTCAAAATAACTGATTGCTCTCTCACCAATATGAGGTGTGCCCATTACTTTTCCTTTGATCCTGGGAAGAAGAAAAACACTCCAACACTTCCTCCCTCATCTTCATATTAGAACATATGGAGATTCAGAACCATACACACACACACACACACACACACACACACTTATATTCACACTTGTATATGTGAACACAATATACCCAGAGAGACCTTTCTTTCACTATTAAATCTTGATACAGTTAAAAGGACTTCTTCTCTTGATTTAGTCGACACCCTACCCCTACCCCCATACCCTTTTTAACTGCCAAGCTCGTCATTTCTGACAAGGATAATCTTCACTTGGAGGATTATGAAGCTATCCCGTAGTCATCACTTTTGGTCAGCTTAGCTCACATTAGCCAGCACCCCATGGCTTAGTGCTCCCAGCGTTGTATCTCGGTTCAAAAGGAACATCGGAGATTTGCGGCGACGGTTCAGCCGTAAGTCGGTAAAACCAGCATGGTGATCGTTCACAGCTCCGGGTTTCCTTGATTCAAAGCACCAATCACTATTAAGCACCCAACTGTTGCCAACAGTATTTTCAGTTATATATTTTATTTAAGAAAATAAACCTTGAGCTATATTGGAGCACCTGGGGACTTAGCCTCTTGCCCTTACCCACATACTACGGGGGGGAAGAATTGAGAAGGAAGGAAGGAAGGAAATGTTTTTTTGTTTGTTTGTTGTAGTTAAATGTGAGGCAGATATCAGGGTTTGGAGGTCAGGGTGAAGCTCCAGCTGTGTACTAATTGCCATATTAAATAATCAGTGCTTGATTGATGTAATCCTGACTTGATTAATGTAATTCTGACCTGGTCGTAAATAAACCTGCAGGATACAGCAGTACACTATATAACCCCCCTATTTTCTACACTGACGAACATCGCTTTCAATCCACTCGAGCCTGTCTATTCACGGTGATGCAGAACAAATGGACCCAATCAGAGAGCACCTATAGAGGACATTACGCGCTGAGAGAAAAAAAAACATACAAACAACATACAACTGAATAAACATTGCCGTCTGGTGTGGCTTCTCGATGTTTGCCGCCGGTGGGTCGTCAGACTCGACTGATTCCCCAGCGTGGTCCAGAGTGACGAGCATACAGAGCATTTAGCTTTTGGTTTGTGAGTCTCTCCCATAGCTCAGAGAGCCTGGAGGCTGGTTTGACTGAATTAGGAGCCAGTGTGTTATCTCTCCAATGGAAGGCAGAGAGGCTGATTGCTGCCCTCATTGGTAGTGCGGAGCACGTTCGGCCAGTGTAATAGCAGCCATAGAAACCGTATCAACTAAAGTAATTGTTTTGGCAAGCCTGGAAATGTAAGAACACAACATTAACATGCTTTGCTTGTGGCTTCTCTCGCTTCTCTAGTCTTAGGCCTCGATAATATGATCAAATGTTCCCCATTTAGAAAGCTGGAGCAAAAGGTTTTAGAGAAAGTGTAAAGCTTTCTGGAGATTTGAGGGGAAACAAGTAAACAGCAAGTTGACATCAATTTGTTTGCTTGTCAGGGCACTGTTCTCTGGTCTTCTCGGTCCTAGGTGTGACACAGCCTTCGCACCTTTTAAGAGGATCCACCAACTTGTTGTTAGACAATGTAATGGATTCTGCAACCCTTACTCTGATAGTCAGAGCTACTGCATGATAGAATAGATACAAATCTGTAAAGTTTTGAACTGTTAACTACTAGCTAACCTCACAATGTTAGCAGCAAATGTAAAAGCTAATGGAATATGTTAGCCAGTGTTAGCTACTGGTCAGCGTTGTGGAAAGAACCTCTGATGATGCAACTGATAGACGTTCTACATGTCTTCCAGGTTGCTATGGAGTGGACGGGGAGAGTGACTCCATCATGAGTTCCGCCTCGGAGAACTCCACGGAACCGTGGTTCTGCGATGCCTGCAAGAACGGAGTCACGCCCAGCTGTGAGCTCTGCCCCAATCAGGACGGGATCTTTAAAGAGACTGACGCTGGGAGGTGGGTCATGATTCGACACACTGCTTTGATGATTTTTCACATTATTTAATTTGGGAGCCTTACATTACATTGGATCAATCACATACACTCTAGGAATTCAACTACTTCAACAAAAGTTGTTGGCCGTCAATGGTAATTTACTGTAGGCAAGCCTCTCTCCATGCGTACATTCAGCGTTGAAGAAGAAAAAGAGCGAAGGGTAGGGAATGGAGAGAGGGGAAAGAAAGCAAGTGAGGGAAGGAGAAGAAGATGGGGTGAAGAAAAAGAGAGGAGAGACAGTGAGGGATAGAGAGAGAGAAAGTGTGTTATGTGAAGCGTGGAGACTCAGCCAAGCTATTGCTGATAGTGCGCCTCAGCCAACCTGCACCCGAATTTACTACTTCACTAGAGCATGAAAAACACAGCAAATTAAACTGTGGAGCGCTCGCTTGCTTGCTGGAGCTGGATATCTTTATATTGGACTTTGGATTCTCTTCCCCAAAGTCCGCATTTGAAATTGTGTCACACCAAACGGATGCTCGGTCAGAGAGTGTGGCTTGGGCTGCTGAAATCAACTACTGAAGATTTCTAAGCTTTTTAAGTGTTTAAGTGATTAATGTCTGTTAATTATCTGACTGAACTTTTCCAATTTTGCATTGTTTACATTTGACGCTTTTGCAGTGCCTAATTTAATAGAGCTTTGTCAGCACACATTTACTTGTATAACTTAAAAGGAAAAATCCCCCCAAAACCACTAATGACTATAAAATATGTGAGAACAATATTTGTTGTGAACAAATGTTTCATTTTGTCGATATAATAAGGTTGGTATCAACGTGAAAATTGTTGTGGAAATCTGTTGCAGCTCAAGTCGACTACAAAACCCACAATGCAATGCTCTCTCTATGGGCTGGCTGGCTAGCTAGCAAACGTAGCTACACACAATAATACCAAAGACAATATCAGCATGTGAAGTAGCTAGTTGGCTGTAAAATTGCCTAAACAAACTGCACTATAAATGTAGTAGTCTACAATCTCACCATGTTCATCCTGCAGATCGATGTGCCTCACAGAGTGGAGTCTGTCATTTGCAATGACACCATACAATACACCCTGGACTGAAGAGGCAGACAAATAGGAGAAATGTGTTAGACCCTCTTTTAAATTACACATTTCTCAAGGTAGGAATATCGCAAAAATATGATCAATGGCTCATTCGAGAGAAGACAACCTCCCGCGTTATGACATCGGCCAGTATTGAAATCTGACATGTATGATAGATGTTTTCACGATCTAAAAGTCGTATTCCTATTAACTTCCAGTGTAGTGAGAGTGGCTTTATCGCAATGCTACGTCATACCGGCAGAATTTCTGCCTGCTTGAACGGCAATAGCTCAGATACACATGAAAACATGAAATGACCCAGGGAATAGATAGAACATCGCTCAGAGATGCACAAAAACAATATAATATAAAAAATGGGAAAATCTTTACTTTAAAGATGCGTTATAAAGGTTTTGTATAATTTCAGCCAGTAGTTTTTGAAAGTAGCCCTCACGAGCCAAAACGGGTCCCCGTAAATTGTGTACAACGTCATCAATTTTGTATTATATGTTACATCCTGCAATTATTGTTTTCTGCAATTTTTATGATGTTACGAATTCCAAATTTGTAACATTGTACGTTTTTAAGTTCCTGTTCAATCTCTTGAATTGTGACAATTAGAAAGCTTGTGTTTACTTCATGTGGACTACCCAATCTCTATTTAGTATACTCTCAATGTGTATAATGGTCTCTGCTTTCATTGGTTAAGTAGGCACGTGCTTCAAATAGCCCTTTTGCAGATGTATCTTTTGTTTCATTTCATGTGTATTTTATAGATGGGTTCATGTGGTTTGTGCGCTCTACGTCCCTGGTGTAGCGTTTGGGGACATTGATAAATTACGACCAGTGACTCTCACAGAGATGAACTACTCCAAGTATGGGGCCAAGGCAAGTACAAATTAAATGTTTTAAAATGTTTTATAGAATAAAGATGATGCTGATGATGCGATCAAAATATTTATGTTAAACAGTGTAAATCGTGTGAAACAAAATCAATCTATATTACTTCAAAAATGCTTTATCAGAGTCGAAGACTGAGGAATGTGTTTTAGATTTTTGGACTCCCATTGTCTGTTGATTAATAAGTCTGGTTAATGAGGAGCAGCACTTTAAGACCGTAATAAAGTGACTTGTGTGGTTGGTTACTGTCCAACACTTTACATCCAACTAAACACAGTGATCCATCAGAGTGCAGTCACTCTGACATTCATTCTAGCTGACACCATTTTGAGGGTCACTAAGCCAGTAGAATACACTTTTAATGAAGAGAATGACTTTTAGAAACAATTGAAAAGGCTTCCTGCAGTGATTCAGGGCCTTTACACACTGAAAAGAAATTGCTGCTGGAAATGTTTGTATTATCATAAACATTTTGAGAATAATTAAAGCATTTGCAAGTTTCTCCAAGTGGTCACCTTGTTCCTTTGGCAGAACTGAGCGAAGTCAATGTTGAAGTTTCTGAACCTCTATGTTTTCCTATGTCCCTGAGTGGAGTTTCTGAGATCTCCATTTTCTTTTTACCTTTTGTTCATAAGTGGAGTTTCTGACCTATGTTTTTGCTTTCTCTTTGTCCAGGAGTGCAGTTTCTGCGAGGATGCCCGGTTTGCCCGGACAGGCGTGTGTATTAGCTGTGATGCTGGCATGTGCCGATCCTACTTCCATGTGACCTGTGCTCAAAGGGAGGGGCTTCTCTCCGAGGCCGCTGCAGAGGAGGTGAGAGAAGAAGACCGGACATGAATCATGTGACCCTGTGTACTTTTTGGGGGGGTGATATTCCTCATATATGGTGTCAGAAGTGGGATTTTATTAAATTTCAGTCTGTTTTTAAAGCCTTTTATGGTGATAGCTCTTTCACAGTCCCTGAAATGCATTTGAACAACATAGGGGGCTGGGGGGGTTCTTAGTGCAGGATATCCATCCGATCCCAGTTTCCTGACCTCTCATCAATAGCCTTAATTAATCAGATCAATTGATTCACTTCATTACCTGGGATCAGTTTGTCAAGAAGACAGTAACATATTAATTTACTGTAAGATCCTCTGGTCCCAAACGACTAGTCTTTTAAAACAGTTGGCTCCCTCACCAACCTCCTGCTATAGGCAGAGCCTTCTATCGAGAATGTAATAAAAACATGTCTATTTAATAAGGACACTATAAGGCTCTGGTTATAGGTAGTATTCAGGATCTGTCTGCAGTGCAGCTGATGTATTCACCTCGCGTCACTTATTTCTGCGGCACAAAGGCGGCCAGCGTACTGATAAACCCGGCCCAGAAAGTGCCTACTCACCGCTATCCACTTAATCCATTGAGCTGTGGCAAAGGGCCCCTATCAACAGGTGAAGCCTCTGATAAAATCCGCCGAAACACCTTAAGCCTAAACGATTCTAGGGGAGCCAGGGGCTGCCTGCCTGTCTGGGAAATGGCTGGGGTTTTGTAGTATGTTTTTCTCTCTATGACTGAGGAGGAAGAGGGAGAGAGGGAAAGAAAATATCATAGGGTCTTGTAGGTGGACTGTATGGTTGTTGTGGATATGGAATATAGTTAAGAAATAGAGGCTTTCATTGTCTTCACTGTTTTCTTACCTGGAATTTGGAAGACCATTTCTGAGAAAAATCACCATTGCCATACTCTGTTCTAGGAATAAGATGCACTCTACTTCAGCAGTGAGCACAGTTCATCACTCTATGAGAGCGCTGAATGGCTGTTATTTTTATCTCACATAACATGGAAACATTACTATTATTTAGAATTACGTAAGTGACTGTATTTCACACAGGAAAACAGATCTCTTAACTTAAGAGTGCTGAAAGACATGCCATACGCAGTGCACAAGGAGCTATGTTCACCTGTGGTCGATCATGATATGAACACGTGTGTGTGTGTTTCCCCAGGACATAGCCGATCCCTTCTTTGCGTACTGTAAGCAGCATGCGGACCGCTATGACAGGAAGTGGAAGAGGAAGAACTACCTGGCGCTCCAGTCCTACTGTAAGGCGTCTCTACAGGACAAAGAGAAGCAGCTGGCCCCCGAGGCACAGGTGAGAGGTCAAGACTGGCTCAGATTCACACTGTTTCGGCGCTGTTAGGACTGCAGAATGTTGTCTTTGGACATGAATAGAAATGCTTGTCAGTGTTTGCGACATAGTTCATTGTACTATGTACAAGATTCAGTCTTCGACAGTTAGTTCTCCATGATTTACCTTTTTATTTTACCAAGTGAGTTGAAGGAGAACACCACAAGAACAACCTGGGGAGGTTGTAAGTTGTAATGGCTGCGTCCAAAATGGCATCCTATTCCCAATATAATGCACTACTTTTGACCAGGGCCCATATAGGGGATAGGGTGCCATTTGGGACAGAGCCAAGCTGTCATTAGATAATGAAGTGTGTGTTTCTTTGTGTTGTGTTGAACCCCTGGCAGGCCCGTATCACCACCCGGCTGCAGCAGTACCGGGCCAGGGCAGAGCTGTCCCGTAACACCCGGCCCCAGGCCTGGGTCCCCCGGGAGAAGCTTCCACGACCCCTGACCTCCAGCGCCTCTGCTATCAGGAAGCTCATGAGGAAGGCCGAGCTCATGGGCATCAGGTAGGAGTTCACGTCTGTAGGAAAAAGACTGTGTTCAGACCAACCAAGGGTTGAGGTGCAGCCCAAATGTAGCGCGAGACCTGCAACTTTTTCCCCTTGTCAGGAAGGGGCTTAGAGGTTAGAGAGGTGGACCAGCAACCAGAGGGTTGACGGTTCAAATCCCTTTCTTCTTCAGCACGGACATCTTCCCCGTAGACACGTCAGACATCAGCGCAAGTGTGGATGGACGCAGGAAACACAAGCAGCCCGCCCTCACTGCAGACTTCGTCAACTATTACCTGGGTGAGTAGGGAAACAAAAACCATCTGACTGATGGCTACATAGACTTACATTACCAACATAATACACCATTATAGTCAATGTTGTTGCTAAAGTCAGATGCTTCCAGAATATAAACTCTCTTTGAGAGTCTGTGCCATAGTTCTATAGGCTCTCCGCATGCAGCCTTGGATAAAGATGTTTTGTCCCCCAAAATGAATGATGATGCCATTGCCAGATGTGTGTGTGTGCTCGACCGTTTTTGTATGTGTGTGTTTGCGAGTGTGAGAATACATGTGCGCTCACACGTGTGTAACCTTGAACCACATCCCCCACCCCCCGGCTATCTCCCATCAGATCGGCACACCCTGTTTCTCGTCTGCCTTTTCCTGTATATAGATGGAGATAGATTGTGATCGGTCCTATTGATGTGTGAATAGATTGTGATGGTGGTTTATTGATTGGTGTCCTTATTGCTATGCAGAGAGGAACATGAGGATGATCCAAATCCAGGACAATATCTCTGAACAGAAGAATCTGAAAGACAAGCTGGAGAGTGAGCAGGAGAAGCTGCACGTCGACTACAACAAGGTTAGTGATGGTAGAAAACACACACACTGTTAGAAGAACATGAAGAAGCTGCTTGTTGACTACAACAAGGTTAGTAGTGTTGGAGCTAGGAACACAAGCATTTCGCTACATCCGCAATAACATCTGCTAAATATGTGTATGCGACCAATAAAATGTGATTTGATTTGGTACAAGCCGCAAAGTTACCGAATAAAATGCTTGCTTGACTGCTCTGTGGTAGTAGACGCAGCCAGGAAGATAGTGGACAAAATGTTAATCCACACTGTTATCAACCACTCACAAGGGGTTTACCAGTGATTCTCCAGTAGCATTCCTTTCTCTGAGTCCTCACACTAAAGCTGTGCTATCTCTTTGTACTGCGTGGCCTCTAGTCTTCAGAAACACACACGGTGTGTCATTCATAAACCACATCGCTTTGCACTACAACACATTAACCACTGTTTTACTATGTACCGTGAAAAATACAATTTTAAGAGCCTAGTTGGTCCTCCTCCGTCTAGCTCTCTCCAGCTCTCATCTCTCTCTCTCTCTCTCTCTCTCTCTCTATCCATCTCTTTCTCCCTCAATCTCTCTGTGGCCCTTGCCGTTTTGGTCTCTCTCTCTCTCTATCTCTCTCTCTCTCCTTTCATCTCTCCTTCCCCATGTGACCTGGGTGTGGCGGCGCAGGGCAGCTTCGCTCCATCAGGCCCAATGAAGAAGGGAATAAAACAGCGGAGTAAAAGTCAGAGGAGTTAATGTTGCGTTCAGTCTTTCTGCCACGTGTATTAAGCGTTATTAATGGAGTGTGTGTTGCTAATTGCACTGCTTGACATGCTTTTACACGGAGAGCGAGAGAGAGAGACACGGAAAGAGAGGAGGAGAGAGAGCGAATGAGAGAGAAAAGCAGCCCTGGTCTTGAAGAGAGTGAGAGAGACGGAGAGGGGGATAGAGAGAGAAGGATCGTTAAGATTAGAAGTCTAGCTATTGATACAGCTATAAAACCCCTGACAAGGCGTGTGCTTGGGGTGGGTTTTGTGTGTGTGTGTGTAGAGGAGTACTTGGAGGTGGTAGACGATATGAAGTGTTTCTCTCTCTCTCTCTCTCTCCCATTCTTTCTATCTCCCCCTCCCTACATGTCTCTCCCTCTGTAGCTGTGTGAGTCTCTGGAGGACCTGCAGAATGTCAACGGTGTTCTGAGGAGTGAGGGTCATGCCATGTGGACCATGCTGGGAGGAATCCTAGGACAGGTATGTTAATATCACACCACATTCTCCTCCTGTCTCCTCTCTCCTCCTCCTGTCTTTCTTTCTTTTTTATGTTTAGTCCTGAGTTGGCAACACTCCCACTAAACCAAACTCCAGCTTCATCACACCTACGCAGGACAGAAACAGAACAGAAAAGTTGGTTACAAAGGCAGAGGATAAAACCCCAACCTGGTGATGATGGAGGATTGAGATTAGCCATAGCAACCCGCCGTAGCAACCAACAGAGTTACCGTGGGGGTAATTCTGCAGCCCATAATAGGCTCCTGTAACTGATTGACCTGTCATTTGCCATAAAGGCAGACCAGACCTGGCTCTGCTCCACTCTAAGTAAAGTTAGAAGCTATCCGCTTGCTTTCTACCACGTTCCCACTTGCCATGGCAACCAAATCACTAAGATGCGTCGCCACGGGTGATGGGTCGTTTAATGAGTGCGAAATGCAGCTCTGCAGAAATCTTAAAGGTAACAGAGCCTGTTTCAAGGTGCTGACACTGACACTTCTTTAAAGGCAGCCCAGCTCTTGGTGTGTGTGTGTGTGTGTGTGTGTGTTGTGCTGTGTGTGTGTTGTGCTGTGTGTGTGTTGTGCTGTGTGTGTGTTGTGCTGTGTGTGTGTGTGTGTGTGTGTGTGCTGTGTTGTGCTGTGTTGAGGTGAGAATGGGAACTGAGGTGGAGAGGCCTGTGGAGAGCTGGAGCTCTAACAAGATGCTATAGCAAGACAAGCACACACACACAACACACAAAACCTCTCTCTCACACACAAACACAAACAGACACCCCCCTGGTTACACCCAGTCTCTCTAAGATTTGCAGGTAGGCCTAGATAATACAACATACATTTGCCCGTGGCACCTGGGACTGCATATATAATCAGCCCTTTAAAAATCCATCTACTTAAGCGGCTAACTGAATGCATGATGCTTGATTAAAAGTTTGCCTGGCGATAGGGGAAAAGACTGGAGGGAAAGAACGACTGAACGAACGACGTTGATCTGCAACGACCTCCATAAATCACGTAATTAGAAACGTAGAAAGGTTTAAGTAGCTACATCAGTCACGTCCCCGCGTTGCATTGTGTCATCTATCTGATACCTTTTCATTTCCTATTTGTCATCCCTCCCCCGTACATTACCTGAAATTATTGATGTCCCCAACCGCAGCCCCATCCCTCATCCTATACACTGAGTCAGTGTTGTCATTGTTGGGGACGTCTCAGGGAGAGGAGAGAGGTACTCTCTAAAAGTGAACATGAGACATTTTTAGCCAGACATTGTGAAACTTAAAAGGACCGGTCACAGCGTTTTTACCATTAATATTACCTGGCTGTGTTCAATTTGGCACTGAGGTAAAGCATCTCATTTTAAATGCTGTGCACGTATGTGTCACATACCGAGACCCTTCCTGGAAGGCGTGCCAGTCAGCTGACTCTTCCCAGGGTGCCGTTTGTGTGTATGCTGTGTGTGTGTTCGCCACTCGGTCCCTCACGGCCTCAGAGCCTGTCTGGCACCCAGTATGAACCAGCCAGATGGCCTGAGGCTGGGCTGGTCCTGCCTGCCTGTCTCTGATTCTTATTTTATCAGATACCTTCACACACCCATCTCTCTGAAATTAGCTTTAACTGACAGGGGACTTCTCTCTGTCAGTAGGGGAGGGATTTCCTACTCACTGAGCTAATGCAGAAGGGGACTGTGGTCCACAATTAGTAGATCACACACCCCAGGCAAACACACACAGACACACACACACGCACCATCGGGTCCTGTGGCCCTGGTGCCTCTTTCTTAGGCCCCCCCACAGGACCGATCCCTGGGAGCCGTAAGCAACGGCGTACTGAGCGTGCTCAGATTAGAGCTGCCCCAGTGAGAAGCCAGTCTGTTTAGTGTCCCACCAGCTCCCCAGTCTCTCCCTAGCAAATACGTTTTCTAATTAACCTGCGACAGACAGCAGCCACCATGTAGCCAACGAGATGCTGGGGAGAAATAAACCCACATCCGCCTCTGTCTGTCTGTCTATTTGTCTACTGACCAACAACAGGTTCCCTCAATATTTATCTTTCTTTCTCTCTCTGTCTCTCTCTCTCTGTCTCTCTCTCCCCCCTCTCTCTGTCTCTCTCTCCCCCCTCTCCCCCCTCTCTCTTTCTCTCTCCCCCTCTCTTTCTCTCCCCCTCTCTCTCTCCTCTCTGTGGACACCTGTGACCTGTTTGTATTTCACTGCTTGTCTCTGAAGTCTCTTCTACACCTACAGTATGTTCAATGTGTGTCTCTCTCCTTGACAGAAACTGAACTCCCCGTCGGTCCTGAAAGCACCTAAAGAGAGGAAGCCCAGCAAGAAGGAGGGAGGAGCTCCTGGGAAGTCCTCCAACCTACCAGCTGTCCTCTACAGGTAAACAAACAAACACAAAAACATTCAAACAACAGGCATTACAAACAAGCACAAAGCCTTATATGCGGCAAACAGAGAGGTCCCAGTATTCAACCCTGGGGCACTCCAACACTGTACGACCATCACTATTCCTAAGGAGTATGTATTATCATGCCTCACACTGCATGTTTTCTTTATATGAACTTTATCCGAGAACTAAATTCTTAGAGTTTTGAAGTATTTCCTGTGTGTGTGTGTGTGTGTGTGTGTGTGTGTTGGTGTTCCTGTTTAGCTGTGGGATCTGTAAGAAGAACCAGGACCAGCATCTCCTGCTGCTGTGTGACACCTGCAAACTGTACTACCACCTGGGCTGTCTGGAACCTCCACTCACACGCATGCCCAAGAAGACCAAGAACAGCTACTGGTGAGAGAGGCGGGGAGAACCACACACACACACACACACACACACACAGAGAGAGAGAGGTAGGCTAGGGGAGGTAGACGGGAGAGAAAGAGACTGGGGGAGGTAGACAGGAGAGAGAGAGACAGGGGGAGGTAGATGGGGAAGAAAGAGAGAGTGAATGAGGGATAACTAGTGAATGGATGCCAGAGGACTCAGTGGTACAAGAGTCGGACCAAGTGCTGTCCATAGCACACACACATGCACAAACACACAACCCATCGCAATGACACTGTACTGTAAATCTGCAATGACATTATAACATTGTTGTATAAAAAATGCCTCGGGTCTAAGAACAGCCCTTAGTCAGGAGTTATCACACGATAATCCCCGGGTTCTCATGCCTTATTGCTTTTATAAAACAGTTGCCAACATATTTATACAAATATTAATGAAATGTAAATTCATTTTTGCATTCTGAAGTTGCTACCCAAGCAGGCTGGTCGTTAGTTATTTTCTCATGTTTTGACGCAGTCGTTAATTCTAATCATTCTAGCTACTAATTCGACGTTGCTATGCTAAACAAATCATTGGCATGTAGTTAGCTAGCAGATATTAAATGATGATGAGAGACAAGAACATCAATAAATAATGATTTAATAAATATCCAATAGGTCTACATAGACCATACTGCACTGGTTAATGAATTAACAGTTTGTCACGATGTCAGTGTATGCGGTTGACTGAAGTCAGGCGCAGGACACAGAACTCAATGAAAAAACGTATCTTTACTAATACACGTAAAGAAACAAGAAGCCTCCACGCAGGGAGGAATAAACCCGCTCACCAACGACATCAGCGAACAAACAACAAACACGCACAGAACACAATGGGAGCCACAGGGTTAAATAGGGGCGGAGTAATTACAAGATGGGCAACAGGTGTGAAACAATCTGACACAACAGGTAGAACATAGAAACATATAACATAGATCGGCAGCAGCTAGTACTCCGGTGACGACGAACGACGAAACCTGCCCGAGCAAGGAGGAGGGGCAGCCTCGGCAGAATCCGTGACACAGTTTCCATGGTGAATTATTAGTTTCATGTTCATTCTTGGGCTAGCTAGCCTACTGGCACGGGAGAGATAGCATTTGTAAAATGATACATTGTTGCACAGGTTGTAAAGGCAGACAGGTAGGTTTATACAACCCCCATCTGTTGCAAACCAAATTGTAGCATGGAAAAATAATGTGTAGACGCTTTTTTCCCCGAGATATACAGTGAGGGAAAAAAGTATTTGATCCCCTGCTGATTTTGTATGTTTGCCCACTGACAAAGAAATTATCAGTCTATAATTTTAATGGTAGGTTTATTTGAACAGTGAGAGACAGAATAACAACAACAAAATCCAGAAAAACGCATTTCAAAAATGTTATAAATTGATTTGCATTTTAATGAGGGAAATAAGTATTTGACCCCCTCTCAATCAGAAAGATTTCTGGCTCCCAGGTGTCTTTTATACAGGTAACAAGCTGAGATTAGGAGCACACTCTTAAAGGCAGTGCTCCTAATCTCAGTTTGTTACCTGTATAAAAGACACCTGTCCACAGAAGCAATCAATTAATCAGATTCCAAGACCAAAGAGCTCTCCAAGGATGTCAGGGACAAGATTGTAGACCTACACAAGGCTGGAATGGGCTACAAGACCATCACCAAGCAGCTTGGTGAGAAGGTGACAACAGTTGGTGCGATTATTCGCAAATGGAAGAAACACAAAATAACTGTCAATCTCCCTTGGCCTGGGGCTCCATGCAAGATCTCACCTCGTGGAGTTGCAATGATTATGAGAACAGTGAGGCCCAGAACTACACGGGAGGATCTTGTCAATGATCTCAAGGCAGCTGGGACCATAGTCACCAAGAAAACAATTCGTAACACACTACGCCGTGAAGGACTGAAATCCTGCAGTGCCCGCAAGGTCCCCCTGCTCAAGAAAGCACATATACATGCCCGTCTGAAGTTTGCCAATGAACATCTGAATGATTCAGAGGAAGAACTGGGTGAAAGTGTTGTGGTCAGATGAGACCAAAATGGAGCTCTTTGGCATCAAGTCAACTCGCCGTGTTTGGAGGAGGAGGAATGCTGCCTATGACCCCAAGAACACCATCCCCACCGTCAAACATGGAGGTGGAAACATTATGCTTTGGGGGTGTTTTTCTGCTAAGGGGACAGGACAACTTCACTGCATCAAAGGGACAATGGACGGGGCCATGTTCCGTCAAATCTTGGGTGAGAACCTCCTTCCCTCAGCCAGGGCATTGAAAATAGCTTGTGGATGGGTATTCCAGCATGACAATGACCCAAAACACATGGCCAAAGCAACAAAGGAGTGGCTCAAGAAGAAGCACATTAAGGTCCTGGAGTTGCCTAGCCAGTCTCCAGACCTTAATCCCATAGAAAATCTGTGGAGGGAGCTGAAGGTTAGAGTTGCCAAACATCAGCCTCGAAACCTTAATGACTTGGAGAAGATCTGCAAAGAGGAGTGGGACAAAATCCCTCCTGAGATGTGTGCAAACCTGGTGGCCAACTACAAGAAACGTCTGACCTCTGTGATTGCCAACAAGGGTTTTGCCACCAAGTACTAAGTCATGTTTTAAAGAGGGGTCAAATACTTATTTCCCTCATTAAAATGCAAATCAATTTATAACATTTTTTAAATGCGTTTTTCTGGATTTTTGTTGTTGTTATTCTGTCTATCACTGTTCAAATAAACCTACCATTAAAATTATAGACTGATCATGTCTTTGTCAGTGGGCAAACGTACAAAATTAGCAGGGGATCAAATACTTTTTTCCCTCACTGTATTTTGAGTGAATTTCCTGCCTGGGCTGCGGGACAGTGGAATTATGAGATTAACACGTCACGGTATTTTGCGGGAGTTGTTGTCCTGCATATCAACCAATCAGCATCCATGATCCAAAGAACCTGTTTTATAATAACTTGGAGTAGAAGATAGATTTGTGTCCACAATTTATTTATTTGTATAAAGTGTGACATTTTAGCATACTCAGTGGCAGTAGATTTATCAGATGGAGAATGCAGAGATGGTGGAAAATGTCCCACTTCAAACAGAAGAGGTAGATGTCCTTATCTGGATAGATAAATAGAGGAGCTCTTTTGTGTATCTGTCTCAATAGTTTCAATAGTATTCCGTCTCTGTCACTTGGTGAGGTACTTCCACAGTTAGTCATCTCCTTTTTACTTCCTATTCTAAGTGAAGGAGGATGGGGGATTGTAGTGTGTGTGTGCGTGCATGTGTGTGCATATGTACAGTGGCTTGCGAAAGTATTCACCCCCTTGGCATTTTTCCTATTTTGTTGCCTTACAACCTGGAATTCAAATGGATTTTTGGGGGTGTTTGTATTATTTGATTTACACAACATGCCTACCACTTTGAAGATGCAAAATTTTTTTTTTGGGTAAAAACAATCAAGAAATAAGACAAAGAAACAGAAAACTTGAGCGTGCATAACTATTCAAGTTCCCTCAAGAATTTCCCTGTATTTAGAGCCATCCATCATTCCTTCAATTCTGACCAGTTTCCCAGTCCCTGCTGATGAAAAACATCCCCACAGCATGATGCTGCCACCAGCATGCTTCACTGTGGGGGTGGTGTTCTCGGGGTGATGAGAGGTGTTGGGTTTGCGCCAGAAATTGTGTTTTTCCTTGATGTCCAAAAAGCTCAATTTTAGTCTCATCTGACCAGAGTACTTTCTTCCATATGTTTGGGGAGTCTCCCACATGCCTTTGGCGAACACCAAACGTGTTTGCTTATTTTTTTCTTTAAGCAATGGCTTTTTTCTGGCCACTCTTCCGTGAAGCCCAGCTCTGTGGAGTGTACAGCTTAAAGTGGTCCTATGGACAGATACTCCAATCTCTGTTGTGGAGCTTTGCAGCTCCTTCAACGTTATCTTTGGTTTCTTTGTTGCCTCTCTGATTAATGCCCTCCTTGGCTGGTCCGTGAGTTTTGGTGGACGGCCCTCTCTTGGCAGGTTTGTTGTGGTGCCATATTCTTTCCATTTTTTGATAATGGATTTAATGGTGCTCCGTGGGATGTTCAAGTTTCTGATATTTTTTTATAACCCAACCCTGATCTGTACTTTTCCACAACTTTGTCCCTGACCTGTTTGGAGAGCTCCTTGGTCTTCATGGTGCCGCTTGCTTGGTGGTGCCCCTTGCTTAGTGGTGTTGCAGATTCTGGGGCCTTTCAGAACAGGTGTATATATACACTGAGATCATGTGACAGATCATGTGACACTTAGATTGCACACAGGTGGACTTTATTTAACTAATTATGTGACTTCTGAATGTAATTGGTTGCACCAGATCTTATTTAGGGGCTTCATAGCAAAGGGGGTGAATACATATGCAAGCACCACTTTTCTGTTATTTATTTTTTTAGCATTTTCTGAAACAAGTTTATTTCACTTCACCAATTTGGACTATTTTGTGTATGTCCATTACATGAAATAAAAATAAAAATCAATTTAAATTACAGGTTGTAATGCAACAAAATAGGAAAACCGCCAAGGGGGATGAATACTTTTGCAAGGCGCTGTACGTGTGTTTGTGTATTGTTTGTTTTTGTGGCACCTCAACCTGCACGTTCTTCATGCCTGTGATTGGGAGTAATTCATTTAATCGATGAATAAGAGAGCGTGGTTGCGTTCTGCTCCGGAGGGCAGAAATTAGAAAGTGTTTGGAGAGATACAATTTTGTGTAGCCGAGGCCAAGTCGTACCTAATTACCACGATCTGCACCCCAGGAAATTCACAGAGGCAGAAAGAAAGGTGCAGACAGGGCTTCTCAGTCAGAATCAGAAACACACAGATGATCCACAAGTTTACTTTGCCTTAACCTATAATACTGATATTAACCTTTAAGACAGATATTACATTTATCTAACTTATAAGAGTGATAGACACCCATGTCACAGTCTTATGCTTTGCCTGGGTCAGCATAAACCCCTTTCTTCAAATTCAAATTCAGTGTCAGACCTCCAGGCTCAGATTTCAGTACTTTGGGGAAAACAGTATTTTTTCGAACCAAGCAGATATTATTTTCATAGATTTCAACAAAGACAGACATTACAGACCAAAGCCTTAGTGTCAGTGTTTTGTTTGTTTTCTCTCCAACATAATCAGCAACATCTAGATCAGACATTGATAGTAAGAGAGAAAGATATCCGAAACCTGTTTTCCATGCTTAAGATGTTCACAGATAGTAAAATCAATACCCCTGCATAGAGGACAGAACAGTTTCTGGACCCTGAAAGATCTTCTCTCTCTACCTCTACCGCTCTCTCTCTACCTCTCTCTCTCTACTCAGGCAATGTTCAGAGTGTGACCAGGCCAGTAGCGATGATGCCGACATCGCCATGGAGACACTGCCCGACGGCACCAAGAGGTCTCGGAGACAGATTAAAGGACCAATCAAATTCATCCCTCAGGAGATGTCCCCGGAGCCCAAGAAACGAGATGTGAGGGGCACGGTATGTATTAACACACACTTCGTAACTATTATTTACAGTGCCATCAGAAACGTGACTTTTTCCATGTTGTTGCATTACAAAGTGGGACTAAAATGGATTTAATTGTAATTTTTGGTCAATTATCTACACAAAAAAACTAATGTCAAAGTGGAATAAAAATTCAAAATGTTTAATGTATTTTTGGAAAATATTTAGACCCCTTGACTTTTTCCACATTTTTTTAGGTTACAGCCTTATTCTAAAATTGATTAAATTGGTTTTTTCCCTCATCAATCTACACACAATACCCCATAATGACAAAGCAAAAACAGATTAAAAAAACCCCGGAAATATCACATTTACATAAGTATTCAGACCCTTTACTCAGTACTTTGTTGAAGCACCTTTGGCAGCGATTACAGCCTTGAGTCTTATTTAGTATGACGCTACAAGCTTGGCACACCTGTATTTAGACTTGTTCCGAAACAACTCCTGCGTTCTCTTGGCTGTGTGCTTAGGGTCATTGTCCTGTTGGAAGGTGAACCTTTGCCCCAGTGTGAGGTCCTGAGCGCTCTGGAGCAGGTTTTCATCAAGGATCTCTCTGTACTTTGCTCCATTCATCTTTGCCTCGATCCTGACTAGTCTCCCAGTCCATGCCGCTGAAAATCACCCCCACAGCATGATGCTGCCACCACCGTAGGGATGGTGCCAGGTTTCCTTCAGACGTGACGCTTGGCATTCAGGCCAAAGAGTTCAATCTTGGTTTCATCAGACCAGAGAATCTGGCAAACTCCAAGCGGGCTGTCATGTGCCTTTTACTGAGGAGTGGCTTCTGGGGGTTGTTGCAAACATTTCTAAAAACCTGTTTTCACTTTGTCATTATGGGGTATTGTGTGTAGATTGCTGAGGAAAAAAATACATTTAATCCGTTTTAGAATGAGGCTGTAACGTAACAAAATGTGGAAAAAGTCAAGGGGTCTGAATATTTTCCGAAGGCACTGTAGGATATAGCAGGCCTGACTAACAGAGCCCAACAGATATCCAGGCCAGACTAACAGAGCCCAACAGATATACCAGGCCAGACTAACAGAGCCCAACAGATATACCAGGCCAGACTAACAGAGCCCAACAGATATACCAGGCCTGACTAACCAGAGCCCAACAGATATCCAGGCCAGACTAACAGAGCCCAACAGATATACCAGGCCAGACTAACCAGAGCCCAACAGATATACCAGGCCAGACTAACAGAGCCCAACCGATATACCAGGCCAGACTAACAGAGCCCAACAGATATACCAGGCCAGACTAACCAGAGCCCAACAGATATACCAGGCCAGACTAACAGAGCCCAACAGATATACCAGGCCAGACTAACCAGAGCCCAACAGATATACCAGGCCAGACTAACCAGAGCCCAACAGATATACCAGGCCAGACTAACCAGAGCCCAACAGATATACCAGGCCAGACTAACAGAGCCCAAACAGATATACCAGGCCAGACTAACCAGAGCCCAACAGATATACCAGGCCAGGACTAACCAGAGCCCAACAGATATACCAGGCCAGACTAACCAGAGCCCAACAGATATACCAGGCCAGACTAACCAGAGCCCAACAGATATACCAGGCCAGACTAACAGAGCCCAACAGATATACCAGGCCAGACTAACAAAGCTCAACAGATATATCAGGCCAGACTAACCAGAGCCCAACAGATATACCAGGCCAGACTAACAGAGCCCAACAGATATAGGATATAACAGGCCTGACTCACAGAACTAATGGCTGGCCATTCAGCACACACAGGTCACGCTGCTGTACTAAACAGGATACGCTGTTGTACTAAACAGGATACGCTGCTGTACTAAACAGGATATGCTGCTGTACTAAACAGGATACACTGCTGTACTAAACAGGATACGCTGCTGTACTAAACAGGATACGCTGCTGTACTAAACAGGATACGCTGCTGTACTAAACAGGATACGCTGCTGTACTAAACAGGATACGCTGCTGTACTAAACAGGATACGCTGCTGTACTAAACAGGATTACTAGTGGACATGCCAGGAAACTAGAGGGGGTGGATCCAAACACATACTTCCTCTGGTATTCAGCCCCAAACCCCCCCCGCTGGCTCGTTGGTTCAGGTCCGCCTGAACTACTTCCAATCTACAGAGGATTGGGGTGAGTGATTTCATATAAAATGAAGTTGGAATATTAACAAAAGGGGAAATCAAACATCTCCTTGTTGTTCTTGACACTAGCAAGCGAGTGAGTGATGGAGCCGGGTTGTGTGTTTTTTTTTTTTTAAAGGAGAACAACATATTTAAACAGATTGTGAAAACAATTCCATCTGTCGCCTTTGGCTCCTCCACCACCACTCGGCAGATGGAACACTTATCATTATAAATGCTAACTGCTAGATGCTAGAATCACAGCCAGTTGGCTCCTTTACTTCATCCTCCTTCCCTACCTCCCTCCATCCCTCCCTCTCTCCCTTCCTCGCTCCCTTTTGAAGCCACTTCTCCTGCGTGCGACGTTCAGGCGGGTGGCACCACCACACAAAGGGCCCAGAGTATGAGTTTATTTAACTATTTGGTCTCTATAGTGGTTGACTCTATGAAAGGCCAGGGAAAGATCACTTGTACACGACTTGTACATCATTGCGTTGCATCTTTGTTGCACTAGAGATCCTGGTTCAAATCCAGGCTCTGTCGTAGCCGGCCGCGACCGGGAGACCCATGGGGCGGCGCACAATTGGCCCAGCGTCGTCCAGGGTAGGGGAGGGAATGGCCGGCAGGGGTGTAGCTCAGTTGGTAGAGCATGGCGTTTGCAACGCCAGGGTTGTGGGTTCGTTTCCCACGGGGGGCCAGTATGAAAAAAAAAATATATATATATATATATAATGTATGCACTCACTAACTGTAAGTCGCTCTGGATAAGAGCGTCTGCTAAATGACTAAAATGTGAAAATGTGAAATCTTTAACAGCCATGAATCATTTCACAGCAACATGCAGGATTAGAGAAGTTAACAGAGCGGAGGATCCAGTAGTAACTAGATGTAGTAACTTAATTCTCATAATTCTCACTAGACTAATGGCATATGTTCATACAGGATGTTCCTGTGTAATCATGGAGGGGTGTTAGAGCAGAGCCACGTTTAATCACCACCCCTTTACACACACTGTCACACAGAATATTCTAGAAGAAGAAGCAAACCTTGAAAATGTAGGATGGTTTTGGTCTGGAACAATTCGTTTAGGAGATATAGGCCTAAAAATGTGAGATATTGTCAGTATATTATATTAGAAGAAGAAGAAGCAAAGACCAAGCTTCCTTGAAAATGCGGTACAGTGTGGGTCCAGAACTGATGATTCTAAGATGTAATGAATCGATGAGTGATGAAAAGACAAAGTATATGGCAAAAAACAAATATACTGTGTCCGTAAAATGTAAATAGGTTCAGAACTTTTGTGAAACAGCACAGTTAAAAATATTTGGCAAAATAGAAATCAAACTGGATGGTTGTCAGAGATAGATGGGAGGGGTTGATGGTAGCTGAAGGATGGGATTAAAAACAAACAAAAGATAACTTAGTTTACTCCAATTAGTTTACTCCAGTTACGCAACCCTGCATCTTAGAGGCTGCTGCCCTATATACATAGACATGGAATCACTGGCCACTTTAATAATGGAACGTTAGTCACTTTAATAATGTTTACATACTGCTTTACTCATCTCATATGTATTTACTGTATTATATTCTACTGTATTTTAGTCAATGCCACTCAGACATTGCTTGTCCTAAAATTTATATATTTCTTAATTCCATCCTTTTACTTTTAGATTGGTGTGTATTGTTGTGAATTGTTAGATAATACTGCACTGTTGGAGCTAGAAACACAAGCATTTCGCTACACCCGCAATAACATCTGCTAAATATGTGTATGTGACCAATAACATTTGATTTGATTTGATTTGATTGGGGGAGGGGTGGTAGGGTTCGGGGAAAATAATAATGGAAAATATATTTTAGAAAGGTATGTATGCATGTATGTATATGTACATATATATATACCAGTCAAAAGTTTGGACACACCTATTCATTCAAGGGTTTTTCTGCATTTTTAAAATGTTTGTAGTAAACAAATCAAAATATATTTTATATTTGAGATTCTTCAAATAGCCACCCTTTGCCTTGATGACAGCTTTGCACACTCTTGATATTCTCTCAACCAGCTTCATGAGGTAGTCACCTGGAATGCATTTCAGTTAACAGGTGTGCCTTCTTAAAAGTTAATTTGTGGAATTTCTTTCCTTCTTAATGCGTTTGAGCCAATCAGTTGTGTTGTGACAAGGTAGTGGGGTATACAGAAGATAGCCCTATTTGGTAAAAGACCAAGTCCATATTATGGCAAGAACAGCTCAAATAAGCAAAGAGAAACGACAGTCCACCATTACTTTAAGACATGAAGGTCAGTCAATACAGAACATTTCAAGAACTTTGAAAGTTTCTTCAAGTGCAGTCACAAAAACCATCAAGCGCTATGATGAAACTGGCTCTCATGAGGACTGCCACAGGAATGGAAGACCCATAGTTACCTCTGCTGCAGAGGATAAGTTCATTAGAGTTACCAGCCTCAGAAATTGCAGCCCAAATAAATGCTTCACAGAGTTCAAGTAACAGACACATCTCAACATCAACTGTTCAGAGGGGACTGTGTGAATCAGGCCTTCATGGTCAAATTGCTATAAAGAAACCACTACTAAAGGACACCAATAGGAAGCTTGGGCCAAGAAACACAAGCAATGGACATTAGACCGGTGGAAATTATCCAAATTGGAGAATGTAGGTTCAAACCAACGTGTCTTTGTGAGATGCGGTGTGGGTGAACGGATGGTCGCTGCATGTGTAGTTCCCACCGTAAAGCATGGAGGAGATGTTATGGTGAGGGGGGCTTTGCTGGTGACACTGTCTGTGATATATTTAGAATTCAAGGCACACTTAACCAGCATGGCTACCACAGCATTCTGCAGCGATACGACATCCCATCTAGTTTGGGCTTAGTGGGACTATCATTTGTTTTTCAACAGGACAATGACCCAACACACCTCCAGGCTGTGTAAGGGCTATTTTACCAAGAAGGAGAGTGATGGAGTGCTGCATCAGATGACCTGGCTTCCACAATCCCCCGACCTCAACCCAATTGAGATGGTTTGGGATGAGTCGGACGGCAGAGTGAAGGAAAAGCTGCCAACAAGTGCTCAGCATATGTAGGAACTCCTTCAAGACTGTTGGAAAAGCATTCAAGGTGAAGCTGGTTGAGAGAATGCCAAGACTGTGGAAAGCTGTCATCAAGGCAAAGGGTGGCTATTTTAAGAATCTAAAATCTAAAATATATTATTCCATATGTGTTATTTAATAGTTTTGTTTGACTGGTACTGTATATATATTACATTGATGGAAGCTACAATCTATATGCAGTATTACATCTGATCTACCCCCAAATTATTTTATTTTTAAGAAGTATATGGCTAAATAAGTGGTGATACATTCTGGAGTGTGACTGTCTGGCTGTGTGTAGGATGTCCTACACATCTCCTCCATACTCTGTGACATTGAGGGCACATGTTGAGTTAGAAGGGCACTACCCTGCAGTTGGCAGTGTACTCAGTCAGCAGGCCCTGAACAAGGGCCAGAGGAGGCTGAGCTGCACCACAGAGTGGCAACGGGCCATCTTACCTCTGTGGCTCTGCACACACACACATGCGCGCTGTACACACACACACACACACACACTCATCCCCATGCAGGGGCCAGCGGGAGGTCGATTAGCCAGCCCTGATTAATTGAAACAGGGCTTTAAAGCGGTGCCAGCGCCGGGGTGCCCTGGTAAAAGCATTAAAAATGCAAAGCAGGGCCTATTCAGTGACTGCCATCGCACTCCTTGCATTTGAAGATAAATGCAGCATTGAAGCTTCTCAACTAAAGCGGACGCGGTGAGAAAAAGCCAGCTTAATCCCAGAGTACTTCCAGCAGCAGGGTCCTCAGCCCAGCGTACTTCTGGGCACGCCGCTTTATGCGAGCTAACAGAAAAACACATTAACCCAGACCTCCCGACACAGCACAGCCGCCGATACTGCTGCTGCTCCACTCTACACCACCCCCTCCCCTCCTTCCTCCCACTTTCTCTCCCTTCCCTCCGTCTCTCTGACAGAACAGATACAGAGAGCAAACCTCCAGAAGGAGAAGAAGACATTTATGGTTGTTTTTTGTGTTGATTTGTTTTCTATTTGAAAAGGAAGAACAGGTTGTTTTTGTGTTATCTGAGAGGGCGACAGCCAGCCAGACGCTAAGGTGTTCTCTGAGTCTTGCTTGGCTGCCAGGCAGTGAGTGGCCACAGAGGAAGAGTGTTCCTAAGGCTCTCTCCTTCCAGGTGTGGAGGGGGTTGGTTATTGACAGTCTAAAAACAAAAGGCAGGGGAAAATAAAAAATGAAAGAGGACATGAGTGTTTTTCTCCCCTCTGATGACTATCTGTTGTGTTCCTTCGGGGAGCTGGGAGGGAGGATGGGGAGGAGGGAGGGGAGGCAGGGCTGGGGTGGTGTATCGGAAGAGGATCAGGGTATGGTGGCTGTAGATAAGTGGGATCCATGAAGAGATGGAGGGAGGGAGGGAGCAGCCATATCTCCATAGCTCTTTCTCTCCTCTCTCTCTCTCTCTGCCTCTCTTTCTCTCTCTCCTGCTCCCTTCTCTCTTTCTCACTCTCTTTCTCTCGTGCAGTTGACAGGCAGTGTTACTCTAGCTATGAATAGGACCTAGTCCAGAGACAGCACTGTGTGGCTCTCTTGTCTTGTATGGCCAGAGGTAAAATAAAAGACCAGCCTCACTGGGCAGTAGAGGATTACATTCAGGACAGACAAATTAAAAATATGTCTTTGGAAAACAGTTTATGCTTTCTGTGGTATTGTTGCAAAAGGCAGAGAGCACAGTGGATTGTCTTTGTTTGACAAACCGCTGAGGGAGCAGACGACGTCATAAACAAACTTCCACTGGCTCCTGAATCTTTTGGACAACAAGCGAGCAACAAATAATGTTAGATTTTTTGGATGCTGCCAATACTTTGTGGAGCATATCTCTACTTAAGTCAAATTATTATTTTGACAGATTCTCCCAGACAAAATACCAAGAACTAATGATTTGCCTGACCACTCAACAACTCGAAGTAGAGAAATATTGACATTTTCCCCAAGTGACCAAGCTGTGACCTTGTGCCTTTGCATGGCTAGCTGATAACCTTTCATAAGGCTCATGAGACTGACCACAGCTCGGGTCAATTATCTCTCATCAATTCACACAGATCAATCAATTAGCAAATAAATTACCACAGAATTCTAGCTTAGTTAAGAGTGACTGCAATGAAACACATTGATCTGTATTCCACAGAGAACTAGAGGGCAGAAGAGGAAGAGGGTGTCCATCTGTGAAGAAGAGAGGTTTGAGGTGCATGTATGTCACTGTTCTACTTTGTTACTAAACATTCCTACAGCTCCTAACCTCCCTATTACACACACATCTAATACATACACATCCCATGTGCTACATACAGTACTAATCTGTTCACTCTATTCACCTGCATATTTCTCTATTCCTTAACACCCCGCCTCTTCTACACCATTACCACACACTCTTTCACACACACACACACACTATCACACACATGGCAGTGTCGGGTCTAATCAGTCTGTGTGTTTCCATAGGAACCGGTTCTACGTGAACGGCGTCAGCGTCAGTCTGCGATGCAGAAGAAGACACCTAAAGCAGACGACACCAGGACCGACTGTACCTCCTGCAAAGGACCCGGGGACAACGAGAACCTCGTCAGGTGGGTCACAGTGTGTGTGAAGGGAGGGGAGGGGTGGGTGTGTGTGTGTGTGTGTGTGTGTGTGTGGAGATGAGGAGAGAGGGTGGAAGGGTGCCATGCTTGTGTGTGTGTGTTCGCACCTGTGAATGTGTGTGTTTGTGTGTGTGTGAGGACCTGTATCCTCCTGATGATTAAAGTTCAGTCTTCATTAGGCCTTGGCTGCCTTGCGTAGGCTGAGCGAGGGGGGCTGGTGAGCGGGGCTGAGGCCAGCAACTCTATAGAACACCTCTTTTGAACTGCCACCTGCATTTACACACTTCATCACAATGTAATGAACAGCCTGATCTGCCCTGGTCTCCCATCAGAGGTTCAGCTGTCTCACGCTGCTTAAACAGGGCCGTAACTTACTAGATCCCTCAGTAGTGTGTGTGTGAATTACAACAGTCAGCATTAACACACTGTAGACTGAATGATTTATCAGAGTGTGTTTATTTTTGCGGATAAAAGGCTGTGCATGATGACGTAGTGCACATAAAAATAGCTTTTGCCGTTAAATTCCCATGAAGCGAATGAAAAATACAAGTTTAATGGGTTTCCATCGCATTTTCAACTCTACTGATGGTTTTGCAAGAAAAACTGTTGCATTATATAACATGCGTTCTAGCCAACAGCTCCCAGATACAGTGTGGGTAGGCTACCTACATTATGAGATTATTATGGATAAGAGTGATATTATTTGTATTTGTCAAACTGCAGCCAAGCATCGATCATCATGTCACCAGAATAAGACCCTGGATATTTATTGTAAAGTAGCATCAAACTCATCACCTTGCACTTTCACCACCCTGTGAAGTTCATCATAACTTATTTCATCTGTAGCCTAATAAACTGTATGCTTTCCGAGTCGTAGTGGGAGAACCACACAACATATCATCGCGTGACTCCAAGTTTACTTCGATATGATGGTATTATATCAATATTTGCGCATAAAGGCGTTCCCACCACCCTTTTTCGCATAATTCATTTTAACGACACAATTAGATCCCACCATGTTGAACAAACAAATTGTCTGTCGCCATTTATAAAGTTGTACCAGCATTTAATGTTTCCATCAGCCCAGTCTGGACTTTTTTCATGCGTCAGGTAATTCATTTGCCATGAAATGGTTGGATGGAAACGTGGTTATAGGCTCATTTCAACTGAAACCGTATGATACATTCACTTTGTTACTCCGTAGGGTTCTTTCTGTGAGCTGTATTAGTTATCAGTGTTTGTAAGGTTAAGCTAATAATGTGTGGTTCTGTCAGTGTTTTCTAGGTTAAGAAGGTCGGGGGCTGTGAGGTGTGCTGCCTGCCCTGACTCTTTCTGTCTTTGCATTGCACAGGTTGTGAGAGCCGGGGCAGACACCTCTCCTCACCTCCCCACACCTAGACACAGCTGGACAGACGAGAGAGAGAGAGAAGCAGACGTTTGGCTTAGAGACAGAGAGGGACTTAATTACACAGAAGAATGACGGCGGCGGTGTGGGATCAGATGGCCATCTTTGACCTTACCACCACGGTCCTCTTCGTGACCCAAATTGGACGACCTACTGGCCGTCCAATTAAAATTGAGGGAGAGTGGCAGAAATGGAAATTAACTTTGAGGAATTCTAAAATACTTGTTAAAATGAGCTAATTAAGTTTTGGGAGGTTCAGTATTACTGAACTGGTCATTCTTGTAAGAAAGGACATGTTGGTATTACTGGACAGGCCCTTTGTGATCGTCATTGTCAACTCTAAGGGCCCATCTATAAGGACTATGGCCTAACTGGACTAAGGAGTGATTCCCTCGCTCTCTCTCGCACTCTCATCCATTCTATGATGGCACTTCACTCCTTTGACCTCTCTGAGCATCTTATCACCACATCCAATCAGTTGTATTGACTCCAGTCATTTGTGGTCCAATCACATGGTGTTTTCCTCAGTAAAGGCCTTTAATTGGAGATGCACTTGAACTTAGGCTTTCATAATCTTCTTCTAGTGTTGTCGTCGGGTAGAACTTTCTAGAGTAGAGGACTAGTAGACCTTGGAAAAGTAGTCGTTTTTAGTAGAATGATTGCCCTTTCTGGCTTTTGAGAAGTAAGTAGCCACTTAGATAGGCCCTACAGCAGCCTAAGATTTAACATATTAATTATAGCAACATTTATATGAATGGTTATTGTAACTTCTAATGTCAGTGTGTGTGTACAGTAGGTGATTAGGCATCTTAGTCTCCCTTCCTTCCTCTCTTTAATATTTTAAAGTGACAGTTTAACTGACACTTCTTTAAAAGCAACCCTGCTCTGTGTGTGTGTGTGCGTGTGCGTGTGCGTGCGTGCGTCTCCCCAGTGCCCCATAGTGAGTGCTGACAACTGAGCTGCTGCCATGTGGTCTGTCTGTCTGTCAGGGTCCTTGACAGAAGTGTCACAGTTTGCCCTCACATGTCACTCCTCCGCTCATCCCCCCCATCCCAGGACCCTCTATGTCACTCCTCTTCTCTTCCCCCCGTCTGTCTGGGGACCCTATATGCATGCCACTGGGAGCTGCCAAAACCTCACATAATGCTTAGGTCCACTGGAAAATCTGCTGAGGAAATAAATCCTCCTTCTCCCACATCCTCCTCATCCTCTTCTGCCACCTCCTCCACAACAAATGTAGAGGACTGTCCATGAGATACAGCTAACGCTACTCTAGCTAATACTACTACAGCTAACCCTACTACAGCTAACCAGCTAACCTTACTACAGCTAACCCTACTCCAGCTAACCCTACTACAGCTAACCCTACTACAGCTAACCCTACTACAGCTAACCAGCTAACCCTACGACAGCTAACCAGCCAACCCGACTACAGCTAACCCTATTACTAACCCTACTCCAGCCAACCATGCATGGCTCTGTATCTAACCATTAGCCCTAGGGCTAGGCTAAGGCCAACTCTGTATCTGAGCCATTAGGGCTACAGTAGCCTACGGTAAATGTACTTGTAACCTGAGAATATGTGGTGGGTTCCAACAGTTTAGAATGTGTGAATGAACACCTTTTAGCTGTGTTGTCCACTGGAAAATCTACTGAGGAAATAAATATGGTGGTTTGGTGGTTTTCCTGTGGAGATTAGAGATCCCAGTACAGGATGACCTGGTGGCTCAGCACGTCATGTCACCACCATGAGCCCTCCTCATCCTCCTTCTCCCTCATCCTCCTCATCCTCTTCTGCCTCCTCCTCCGCAAAATTTAGAGGACTGTCCATGAGCTACAGCTAACCCTACTCAAGCTAACCCTACTCAAGCTAATTCTACTCAAGCTAACCCTACTCCAGCTAACCCTACTACAGCTAACCAGCTAACCTTACTACAACTAGCCCTACTACAGCTAACCTTACTACAGCTAACAAGCTAACCCTACTACAGCTAACCTTACTACAGCTAACCAGCTAACCCTACGACAGCTAACCAGCCAACCCGACTACAGCTAACCCTATTACTAACCCTACTCCAGCCAACCATGCATGGCTCTGTATCTAACCATTAGCCCTAGGGCTAGGCTAAGGCCAACTCTGTATCTGAGCCATTAGGGCTACAGTAGTCTACGGTAAATGTACTTTTAACCTGAGAATATGTGGTGGGTTCCAACAGTTTAGAATATGTGAACAAACACCTTTTAGCTGTGTTGTGTGATCGGTGTGTACAGTATTTATTGATAAGGCCAAGCTTTTTTGTGTCTTTTATTTGTGCCTTCATACTTGATTTTATATCATAATATGCCTTTTGTTATTACTGTGTTGTGAAGAAAATTAGTTAAACTCACTATTGAGTAGGAACCTTAAAGGACTCCTTGCTAAACGTATTCATTGTTAATATATTTGTTTACAATACATGCCTTTATTCTATTATTTGTTTACACACATGCCTATATGTGATTAGTATTATTTGTTTACACACATGCCTATATGTGATTAGTATTATTTGTTTACACACATGCCTATATGTGATTAGTATTATTTGTTTACATACATGCCTATATGTGATTATTTCTAACATGTTGTGATATTACCACATTGGGTATAAGTAACTGTGATATATAGAGTAAGAATGTTGCTGCTCTCATGATATGTGTGTATGTGAAGTATCCCGGCCTCCCGGCCCCTATAGCTCTCAGCATTACAGCAGAGCTTTAATAAACTCTTGACTTTTTCACCTTATCGCCATAGTGATAAATGAGAGTTAGACAGCTAATTAAACTGAACAAAAATATTAACGCAATATGTAAAGTGTTGGTCCCATGTTTCTTGAGCTGAACTAAAAGATCCCAGAAATGTTCCATACGCACAAAAAGCTTATTTCTCTCAAATTTGGTCCACTAATTTGTTTACATCCCTGTTAGTGAGCATTTCTCCTTTGCCAAGATAATCCATCCACCTGACAGGTGTGGCATATCAATAAGCTGATTAAACAGCTTGATCATTACACAGGTGCAGTGTATGCTGAGGACAATAAAAGGCCACTCTAAAATTTGCAGTTTTGTCACACAACACAACACAGCAATTGGCATGCTGACTGCAGGAATGTCCACCAGAGCTGTTGCCAGAGAGTTGAATGTTAATTTCTCTACCATAAGCCGCCTCCAAGGTCGTTTTAGAGAATTTGACAGAATGTCCAACCGGCCTCAACACTGTAGACCACGTGTAACCACACCAGCCCAGGACCTCCATATCTGGCTTCTTCACCTGTGGGATCGTCTGAGACCAGCCACCCGGACAGATGATGAAACTGTGGGTTTGCACAACCAAAGGATTTCTGCACAAACTGTCAGAAACCGTCTCAAGGAAGCTCATCTGCGTGCTCGTCGTCCTCACCAGGTTCTTGACCTGACCTCAGTTCGGCGTCGTAACCGAGTTCAGTGGGAAAATGCTCACCTTTGATGGCCACTGGCATGCTGGAGAAGTGTGACCTTCACAGATGAATCCCAGTTTCAACTGTACCGGGCAGATGGCAGACAGCGTGTAAGGCGTTGTGTGGGCGAGCGGTTTGCTGAAATTAACGTTGTGAATAGAGTGTCCCATGGTGGCAGTGAGGTTATGGTATGGGCAGGCATAAGCTACGGACAACGAACACAATTGCATTTTATCGATGGCAATTTGAATGCACAGAGATACCGTGATGAGATCCTGAGG